GGTTTGAGAAAAACGAAGGATATGCCTTTATCCATTTTTTGCAGCAATTCCACTTTTGTTTAATGGACTTCTAAACATACTTTCGCTTTGTAGATCCTTTACACATTCGGAAATTCTATTTAACATAATCGAAAGTTCAAGCTCACTTTTACAAAATTGCTCTAACAGTCTGCAAAAAATAATAAGCTGGATCCAATTGAAAGATTAAGGAACAATGCAATCTGCAACATTAACTGAATTAGATTATTTTAGTTTAGCTTATACCGTGTGTTATACATTAAATGCGCAAGCATAAACGTATTACGCGCATGCGCACACACAAATTCGCTGCCGTAAAAGTCTTACGTCAACGCGCCGCATGCGCAGAAAGTTTGTAGCTTTGAGGTCCGGATTATGGGTGTCCGAATTAATGACTTTTGACTGTACAAAAGTACAAACAAACAGTAAGAGATGTACATAAAAGTCATTGCTTCAAAAGTTTTCTAGCATAACCAGCAAAATGCAGTTTCAGAGTTACCGAAAAGTGGCGCACATAGACGGAGTAGTTTCTATTCATGGAAGCTGGCGAATTACAGAGAAAGCAGCCAGGATTCACAAAGATTCCAATGTGATGGAGGTGCTCTGCCAAGCAGTGATGTCCAGTGTGGGCTTCACTGGGGATTGCTAAGATATCTTCTGTTCTCCAATGCTTTAACTTTATCCTATCCTGAATTTTAAATTTATAACTTTCTTCCATTATTTGCTTGATATAAAGCCTAAGAAAATGGAATGAATATTTTTTAATGTTTCAATTGATTTTGTTTTTAGAATCAAGTTTTACTTGAATTTGTAACTAAAGCCATTAATGAAAGAAAATGCCAAAATGCTCACACTGTTTGGGAAATACTCGACCACAATTATTTTCACGCTTATTAAACAAACTTTCATCAATTTCCACAATGCAATCTGGTCCACCTACCTTCTTGTTTGGCTTATTCTCCATATCCAAGGCACATAATTCACACATGTAATTGTTCCAATCTATAATAGTTTTATCTGATAAATCAACTTGCTTATCACAAAATTTAATCAATGTCATCTCCTCGCACCAGCAGTATATCAATCTCGAAGCTGAACAAAATGGAATTCTGCTTTCTTCAAACCAGTTATCTTTTCTAAGAGTCACTTGCTGATCACACTGTCTTAAATTACATTTCCAAACGTACGTTTACCAAATAAAGTTTCATATCATGTGAATTGGTACATTTTTGTTTTTTTGGTAAAATATTTTGCTCCTGAAAAAATAAAATTGCATTTTCTTCTGTGTTTGAAAATCCCAAAGACGCATTTTCGTAGCACTAAAAAATGGCGTCAAAAATCAGCAAACAACAAGGCAAAAAGGAATCCAAAAGATAACTGCATTCGAACAACAGGATTGCTCTTTATTGGCGCATCAGTGCAACTTCTGCTGCGGGGGCATTAATACATAAGTACCCAACTCCACTATAGGAAAAAATTATTACAGTCAAAAGTCGTTTAATCCGGACTCGTCGGGACTTCGGCGATTCCGGATTATAGATCATCATTTAAATCTCGTAAGATGGCATGCAGAAATTCTAAAATTAAAAATATGAAACCGTAATTTATGAAATAAGAACAATTATGATCTAAAGAGTATCAAAATTTACAAAAAAAAAAAAAAAAAAAAAAGCTTAATATTTATTTGTTTGCTTTATTAAACATTTCTTTTAATGTAAGTTTAAGTTGCTTCGTTTTATGTGATAATACTTTCTCTTTAATTTTATAAACAGACATAATTTCTTGTTCAGTTACAAAGTTCCGCTGTTCAAGTCCCGTTAATTGCTGTGCCAAGAATACCGACTAACTTGTCAAATGAAATTTTTTCGTTTTCACTAACCTTTCTGTCACATTCTTCATGTTTTTATCCATTTTTTGCAGCAATTCCACTTTTTGTTGTTGGACATCGAAACATACTTTCGTTTTGTAGATCCTTTGGAAGTTCCATCATCGGAAATTCTATTTGACATAATCGAAAGTTCAAGTTTACTTTTATAAAATTGCTCTTACAGTCTACAAAAAATAATAAGGGGGATCCAATTCGAAGATTAAGGAACAACGCAATCATTAACCGAAATAGATAATTAGATAATTTTAGCTTACACCGTCCGTTATACATTAAACGCGCAGGCGAAAACGTATTCTGCACTTGCGCACACGCATATGCGCAGTAGTCAAGGTCTTACGCGCACGCGTAAAACGCCTGTGCACATGTGCCAACACAGCGCATGCGCAGAAAGTTTTTAGCTTTTAGGTCCGGATTATGGATGTCCGAATTAAGGATTTTGACTGTATAAATTAAAAGTACATGGCCAAAGTAGTTTAGAATCCCAAACATATATAGGTACTTCTCTGACACGAATTATGCATGCAAACCAAAATAAACTAAAAAACTAATTCTAAACATCATAAAAATCGCAAGAATCAAATATTATATAAAATAATACAAAAAAGGCAAGTAAATAGTTACTTTCAATTTAACTTACTTTTCAGCACGTTATTCTAGTTTAAAACATTGTTAAACTATGTAAAGTTGAGAAGTTTGTGGCTGCTAACTATGGAAATAGAGGGTGCTGAGACTATGTAAAATTTGAAAAATTAGTCGCGAATTGTTGCCGACTTAACTTTTTGCTAATCTAAGATATCAGAGACAATAGCTGTTTTCAAAAATAGAGATGTACTAACAATTACATTAAATAGTAACCATTTGAAAAAATTAAAAATGCAAGAAACTTCCGTAATAAAATGCATATTTTGTTTTATCAGTTCTCTTCCCTACCAGTTTTTAGCTTTAAAAAAGGTTAGAAAATTGCACACACTTAGCAACGTGCATAACTTGGTACTGCACATAGTTATTCTTTCTATTTACACAGGGATCTGTTTTCTCTTCAAAAACAAAAAATCAGAGAATTGTACAAATTTCAAGGTGATAATGTAGCATGTGATCTACTAGTTTTAATTAATTATTTATTTTTAAGGTGGTTTGTGTAGTTAAATTAATTAAATTGCATTCCAGATTTCAGCTACACACATACAACATTAACTTTTTAATTAGGGTGTGTCAATTATTTTTAGGAGCATATTTCCTCGGTTACATAAGATGTTCCTTTATTGGAACCAAACAATGAAATGGGTACCCACTCAACCATTTGCCCTTCCATGTTGAATGCTATGGCTATGGAATGGCCACAGTTTACTACTTGAAGGGACGAGTTATCCGTTCTACGTCGATCTTGTACGTCAAGTTTAGACTGTACAGGCAAATGTCGTTAATCCAGACTCGTCGGGCTTCGGCGATTCCGGATTATCGATTTTTCTGGATTATAGATCATCAATTTAAATCTCGTAAGATGGCATGCAGAAATTATAAAATTAAAAATATGAAAGTGTAATTTATGAAATAAAGAGCAATTATTATCTAAAGGGTATCAAAATTTATATAAAAAAAGCTTAATATTTATTTGTTTACTTGGTACTTTGGTACATGCTTTGTTTACTTTGGTACATGCTTGAAAGAGGAGATTTTGTCTGATTTTTGCAGCTATCTGTGCACCCTTTTTTACTGGTGCTCAGAAAAGGAAAAGAAATATATGTGCTTAATTTTATAAGTACCAGATTGCCTTGTTACCAGTAGTGCACCAGAGTTTAAGGAGAAGTTCTACAGCCTGAATTTAACAACTACAGATGTACATCTGCCTTACTTGCTATGCATCTCTCGCAATAAGACGTATTCATTTAAAGTGGGTTATTGCCTTCCTACTACTTCAAGGCTAGTTACTTGACAGATGTTTTATGGTTTTCCATATACCTGTTTTCTGTCTCGACAGGCAGGGAAAAGATTGTAAAAATGGTTACTATTTTTTTTTTGGGGGGGGCATGCTTGCCATTAGAGGATGAATAGAGTTGAATTGAAGGAAGAAAAAAGTGAAATTTTTATATTGTTTTGTTCTTGGTGTGCATGCTGAAATTTCTCACCTGTTTGGGAGCATTGTCACTGATGCAGATGATTTTTCTAGCACCCGAAAAAGCGGCTACTAATATACATGGATTTCATTAGTTACTCCAAAATATTGTTACTTAGTAATTAAAAAATAGAATAATTATAATTTAGTATAATAAGAAAAACGCTGTAAAACCTTTCTTTTATTCTTCTCCATAAAAATGGTTGAAAATATTTTATCTTCCAGGAGACCCCATTGGTATGATTTTGTTGTTGTTGTTTTAAAGGTCTATAAATAAATAGATTAGTTTAATTTAATTGAAAGGTGTTGTTTTTATTTGTTTCCAGCCATCATACACTCTTGCTAACCAAGGTTATTGCCCCATGCTAAGTTTTTGCCTTTTTTTTAAAGCAAAATCATTACAAATGCTGGTGTGAATAATGCCTTAGAAGTATTAAGGTTAGGAATGTAGCATTGGTCAATTTCAAAGAACATTATGTATGATCCTCTTATAAATGAACTTTTGCATAACATTTGCCAACATTCCACTAGCAGTGATATTTTTCAGAATCAAAAAAGTGTGAAAGTATGTATTTATATGTTTCTAGTTATATTAAATTAGTTAAATAAAATTTGCTATTTTGAAGGATATTTTTCCTCATCATTTAATATTATTTGCTTGATGTCATCAAAATAACCATGGATAAACATCATCACGTGAAATGGTGTATACTTGTAATACATGCTTGAAAAAAATCATTCGCATGCAATGTATAATTTTTTATTTAACTGGAAAAATAACCTTTTACTGTTATTAAATTGTATTATTTCACTTATTAACTAAATAGAAAACTTGGCAGTAACTTAAAAAATTTGAAAAATCACCATTTCCTTATTTAACAGACATGCTGCTCAGCAAATAAACACTCTGTTGTGTATTTGTACCTTTGTTCCATGTAATAACTTAATTAATTATTTTGTTATTATCTTTTTATATCTTAGTTCAAACCTATTTTTCTTGGAACGGTTGACCCTAGCAGTGATGCAGCCAAGTACAAGCGAACTGTAAATACACAGAAGTGTATTCGTGCTGGTGGGAAACATAATGACCTAGATGACGTTGGGAAAGATGTATATCATCATACTTTTTTTGAAATGTTGGGTAACTGGTCCTTTGGTGATTTTTTCAAGGTAACAGTGTTTTTTTTTTTTTTTTTTTTCTTTTTTTGTAAGACTCCACATCTATATACTCTTAACTGTTGTTGTCATTCATGTTTGTAATCAAATGTGTATGTTGAGCATTTGTGTGTTTCAAAATAATAAATTAGTAAATTTTTTTGAGATATTTACAATTTAAGAGTAGTATTAATGTTTATAACAGGGTGGCCAAACTTAATGATAGTAAAAGCTGCAAGCCTATATTTATATCATTTTAAAGGAATGGGTAAAATAGATTCAAATGGAGGAGGGAACCTGATTTGAAACAATCATTCAGTGACAATTTGTCTTCAGCACAAAATGATGTGTCAAAGACATGTTTGCTGTTTTTTTTTTTTTTTTTTTTTTTTTTTTTTTTTTAATAAACACTTGATGCAGTGAAAAATTAAATACTCTGATTCTTCTGTGATTTCTTCTTGCAACAGTTGATCTATCACAACTTTGTAATGTTCATGAAACTTCAGATTCTTCTTAAATCTGGATCAGAGTGATCAGATAATTTTTCTGCTAACTCAAAATTGTCCTGTAATTTCCCTGCATATTTGCTCCATGCCATATGTTGTCCTGAAATGTAACGGATTCTCAAAATTTTCTAAAAGTAACATTGCCTTCTAAGCTGTGATTTATCAGATTTATTAGGAAATCTCAAAACTTTCATTTGCTATAAATTTCTCATCAATTCATATATTGAATTAACTCTAAATTATTTTTAACTTGTATCAAATTTGTGTGCTGTTAAATGTTTCTGATGCATTACATGTATTTTCTGTTCCATTTCCAGACCATCCCAATTAAGTTTGTACTGCCACTTATAATTCAGAAAATCAGCAGAACCTTCCTGTAAAGCATCCACAAACATCTATCCATCCAATTATAAAGCAAATCTAACTTTTAAAGAATTTCTTTACAAAATTATTTTGTAAAATCAGTGCTATATTTTTATTTTATGTTATATTTTTAAATAATGTTATCAAGTTTCTAAACTAGCAAAAAATTAAATAAAATGATTATATTTAAACATTGATCAGTTTAAGTGAATTAATAACTTTGTAGAGAGAAATGAAATAAAATGATTACATCCTTTTGGACATTGAGTTATGTTAGTTAACCACATTTCATATGTATAGTTTATTTGCAAAAGAACCTTGCACTTACCTTGTAAAGCCATGCTTTGGCCACCTAATACAGTACAAAGTCTTTAATCTGGACTCGTCGGGACTTCAGCGATTCCGGATTATGGGTTTTTCCGGATTATAGATCATCAATTTAAATCTGGTAAGATGGCATGCAGAAATTATAAAATTAAAAATATGAAACAGTAATTTATGAAATAAAGAGCAATTATGATCTAAAGGGTATCATAATTTACAAAAAAAAAAGCTTAATATTTATTTGTTTTTACTTTATTAAAAATTTCTTTTAATGTAAGTTGTTTAAGTTGCTTTGTTTTATGTGCTAATACTTTCTCTTTAATTCTTTACACAGACATAATTTCTTGTTCAGTTACAAAGTTCTGCTGTTCAAGTCTTGTAATTGCTGTGCCGAGAATATTGACTAACTTGTCATTAGAAATTTTCTTGTTTTCACTAACCTCTCTGTTACTTTCTTCATGCTTTTATCCATTTTTTGCAGCAATACCACTTTTTGTTTGATGGACATCGAAACATGCTTTCGCTTTGTAGATCCTTTGGCAGCTCCAGCATCGGAAACTCTTTTTGACATAATTGAAAGTTCAAGCTTACTTTTTATAAAATTGCTCTAAACAGTCTGCAAAAAATGATAAGCCAGATCCGATTAGAAGATTAAGGAACAACGCCATCTGCAACATTAACTGAAATAGATAATTAGATAATTTTAGCCTAGCTTTTACCGTCCGTTTATACATTAAACGCACGTGTGTAAACGCTATGCATCCGCAGAAAGTTTGTAGCTTTGAGGTCCGAATTATAGATCATTCCGGATTAAAGACTTTGAACTGTATATAATTTCTTATCTAAACAGAATAAAATTTAAGAAAAAAACAGATCTTATGCAGTGAATAACCTATTATTACTGAAATGCAAACTGACACAATTGGGACAAATACAAATCAATATTTGCCCCAGGCTTGGCTTCCATTGGTTCAGTTAGCTAGCTCTTTGCTGTTAGTTTAATATCTAATGTAAATGTTAATCGAGTTCTTTTAAATAGCTCTTCATAAAAGTACTGCCAAGGTAAATAATCCTGTGCTTGTTTGCAGTAATAAATTACTTACCTGATGTAATCATTTCTGAAATCTTTAATTTCAATACATTTTTAATGCACTCCAGTCAACGTGTGAATTATTTCTTTCCAGCATTCTTGTATTATCACTAATTCAATGCTAATTTATTAAAATTATGCATTTGCCATTGCTTCAGAAGCTGATTGCTTGATGATGTCAAAACATATCAGTTACTGGAAGTGTTATTGGTTTAGTCACACATTGCTGCTATTTCTCTTTCTAAAGCACGATGCAATGAATTTTAACTTTTGATATTTATTTTATGTAGCATATTTGAAAGCTTTTTTAGATGTACAGCAGGATTGCTATTGGTAAATATTATTGAACTAAGATGTTAATTTTGTCAATAAATAATCTTTGAAAAATATACCATTTTTAAATAACTGCATGATAAAATTTATATTCAACTAATACAGAAAAGTATATACTCAGTGTTTCTAATTTCTCTATGTGGAATATTACTAAGGCTATTCTGTATCCTCATTTTCTCAGATATGTCCACATTTTCAAAGATTAAATTAATGTCCTGGAGAAATTTTTGAAATCAGTCTAAGATTCCAGAAAATTGCCCCCACCCCACTGTTTTCTATATTTGCTTTTAAAAAATAAAACTCTGCTTCCAGAGATATAGGTTTAGAGAGACAGGATATAGGTTTGGAAGAAGAAAATAAAAATTTTAAAATAAAATTTAGTTATGCTGTTGAAAATCTGCACAATGGTTGCTTAGAATATCTGGATATGTGGTTTTGTTTCATTCAAGAAATTTTCTTGTTCCAAATGGATGAAACTTACCTACATATAAACAAAAGTTGGATTAATCATGGACTAAATCAACTATAAATGAATCAATATTAATGCCAGCAAGCATTTTAGCCCTGTGATGTAGTCTCAAATTCAAAGCAATATGCAAGTATGAAGTCAAAATTATTTTATGAAGAGTGGGCTTAAAAATTATTGAAGGTCATCCTAAAAATCATTCAGTTCTTGGGCATGAATGTTAAAATTCCTGCCCTCAGTGCTTATGTGAAAAATCTATTTTCTTAAATTTGAATGATCTAAAGAGAGGAACTGATCACCTACTGAGGAGTCAGTTAAAGGACTAGCTATAATGAAATACATCTTCACTATTTCTTCTGTGTCATCTTCACGCACTAAAACATTTAGACATTTTAAAAGCAAACCAGATTAATAGAGAAGTATTCGCAGGCTATATAAATGAAGTTATCTATTAGAACATGTAAGAAATTGAAATATCTATAAAAAAAAAAGTTTTTTAATTTTGTATGCATAGTCAAGTTATATTAGTTTAGGCTGTAGTTATAAAAACATATCATAAATTTTGATTTTAAATGTTTGAAATTAAATGACTTATTCACATGTAAATTTGCTTAGGAAAGATGTTATCTAGGATTTGTTAGAATCCAACTGGTTGCTCGTTTTTATATTTGAAGGTATGGCCATACTGGGTACTTTTATTTTTGTGCTTCAGATTAGGGTAACTCTAACTGTTCTGAATTTCTAAACAATTAAAAAATTAATTTCTTAACTTAGTGTGTCATGGTTGCACCCCCTTTTTTTACAGTGTATAAAATTGCTATTGCTCTTCCCATTTGGGGGGGGGGAATGCTTATGAAAAAGAGAGACCTCTACCTGATTTGCCCTCAAAATCTCTGCCAAACTAAATTTTTTTTTTTTTTTTTTTTTTACATAATATTAATTTTTTTATCCCCATGTTTCTCTTCTGTTTGACTGGAGTACTAGGTTAAAAAAAGAAACAGTTTATTTATTATAGCTATACATAAAGTGTTTGTGTATGTAGTCTTAAGCCTGAACATAGTAACTTTGTTGTTTTATTGCATTATTTACTGAGTGGGTAATGATTTTATAATTAGAGAGAGATATGTCATTGGTCCTGGGAACTTCTAACAAAAGTTTTCAAGTTACCTAGTGAACGGCTATATGTCACATATTTTGGAGGTAATTCTGCTTTGGGCCTAGATCCTGATGATGAATGCAAAGAAATTTGGAAAGAAGTTGGGTGAGTTCCAATAAACATTATTTAAATGTCTTGTTGACCCACCCTTAATTGCAAAATCATTGCACTTTTCTCCCGTTGAAGAGTATTTAAAGCTTTGTGTCATAATATTTGATAGCCAGTTTAGTTGGCATAAATGTTTAAACTCAATCTAAAAAAAGAAAAGTCTTATTAATTTTTATGCTAGTATTCATTTTAATTTATTTTTTACCTTGTTTTTGTCTTGTTTTGGAGTACCTGAGTACTAATTGGATAATTATAAACTTCCACATTAAATTCTTAAATGAAATGAATGTGTCTTGATTTTGAAAATTTTCCAATTTGGTTTAAAGCAGGGCCACTAGGCTCCACAATGCATATAGTTGTGGAGAATTCTAGAATGTAGAGGAGCCCTGTCATGCATAAATATTAGTAATAACAGATTGAATTTTGCACTAAAGCAGTATTTCTGTGTTTAAAATTGTTGCAACCTTACATACACAAAAATTTGTATTTAATAATTCATTTGATTTGATCATAATGTGATAAAATTTTGTCATTATGATATATTTTATATTTGTGCTGTAATAATCTGTCGTGCTGCGAGGTAATAATGAAGAGCAGTACTTTTTGTTTTTTATTTGCTAGAGTAATATTTTATAAATGTAGCTCAAGTTATAGATTGGGAACATTTATAAAGTGTGAATGTGAACATGGAAATGAATGAGGAAATACTATGAATAGCCTCAGCGTCTGTTGCATGTTATAGAAATATCTATTTTTCAGCTGTAGGAAACACACACAAAAAAAAAAAAAAAAAAAAAAAATCATTGCAATCTTAAATTTCCTCAATATGTAATCAACTTAAGTCAGTTTTATATCCAAGAATATGTCCATTGATTATAGATAGATAGTAGTATTTTAAGGAAGTTTGATAGATATTTTATAAAAAGAATGTGGCATTTCCTAAAAGTGAAGAAACAAGATGTTTTAGCATTCATTGCTTTTGTTATTGGCCTCCAGAGAGCAAGAAGATGCAGCTCTGTAGAAGAAGAAAATACAGAGAATGGCATGAAGAATTTCTTTACATAACCACAAATTACCTTTCAGCCACATACATCAGTGACACCCAAATAGTAGGTCAGGGACAATTTTTGATTGATTTAAAAAATGTTTTGGAGTACTCTGTTCCTTAGAGTATAAGTGCATGTATCTATATGTAATTACAAATTTATAACCATTACTTCTTTCCATAGTTGTAAATGTTTATTTATTACCTTAGTGTTACATTATTTTCTCCAGAGCTTCCCCCCCCCAATCCACCTTTCCTAATTAGTAATTCTATGAAAGTGAGTCATGACAAAATGCATCTTTATACAGATTGTATGGCTAAAAAGGTATGTGTCTGAAAGTTCAGTGTTCAAAATTAAGGACTTTTAGCACAATATCAAATTGGAAAGATAGAAAAACAAATTTTCTGAGAGACTGTTTTCTATTGTAATATTTGTGGTGGGGAAAATAAAATCTTTTTTAAGAAGCATTTAAAACCATTTTGTGGGCAGTGGCTACAAAGTCAAGCCCATCTAGAAGTAATTTTTTCTCTAAGTGTGCAGTGGTTATCTTTGTTAGCAATCTGCATATATTGAAGCCGAAATGCACAAAAATCGTTACAGATGGCAGCACTATACATTATTATCGAATTATGGTCTCTGATGGGGTGTTGAACTTCTACATTCTCTGCATAAGTACTGCAAATTGAAATTTTATTGTTTTAAATAATATTTCTAATTTATGCAAAACATTTTGACAGTTTTAATGTATATTTTTCTATCATTTAAATCAAACTAATTCACAAGCAAAAACAATTCATTTTTACTAGGTTTTGGGGAAGTTTTTGGACATGGATACAGGGTTTATCCACTGCCCTTTTAAGGGAGTAATACTGACCTTGGAAACGCTGCATTGCCTCTACCTGAGAGAAGAGTTATGTTTGACAGTTTTATATTTCTGTAGAGGTGCAAGTGATGAGGTTTTGGTCTTGATTTGACTTTCAGTTTTTTTCTGTTCGGCGAGAATGTTCATATTTTTTAGAGAGACGATATTTAGAATACTTTCTCTATGTGGATACTTTTTTTTATTATTTTAAATTAGCTTTCTGCTTTTATAAGATTATAATGCATTTCTTTTATTATTTTAATTTTGACGTAATTTTTTTTATTACAATGTCTGGAAAGAGCTTATCTGTACAAAAGGCTCTTGCTATTTTTGAAAATTTGCCATCAGATAATGGTTCAGCAGTATCTAATGATAGTGATACTGATGAAGACTTTACTCAAGACTTTGTGGACTTTACTCTAGAGGGAAATATTATTTCTAGTTCTGATGATAAAGAAATTTAAAAGTTACAGCTTCCCTCTACTTCTCAGCCACAAGTGAAATGGAATAAGCATTTTACTGTCAGATCTCTGCCATAATTTACAGTAGACAGTGGTCTGTGTTCTGAAGTTTTAGAAATGCAAAATCCAACTCCTCTTGGAGTATTTTTTATGTTTATTACAGTAAAATTGTATTATTACTTTATTCCTCAAACATTTTGTATTTTAATTATCATTAAAATTGTTATTTTCATAAATATTAATTTCTCATAAAAAGAGGTCATAAGTTGAATTAATTTTGCAATAACAGGCTAGCTAAATGTTTTAAGTGTGTAGTGGCTATAACCTCTAGCCATGCCCTAGACAAAAGACCCCTAATCTGAAAAATTATTTACGGCCAAATAATGTTTAAGATGGTTGAGAACATTATGTTTATAATGTACTTTATCACAGAAAAGAGTATTTTAGCTTTACGCCCGCTAAAGGGTTAAAAAAAATTGAAGATTCTAGCCAAAGGAAAGTGTTTGCAAGTTGTAAATGCCAAAAAAAAAAAAAAAAAAAAGCTGTGTTGAGCAAGCATTTTCAACAAAGCAGCAGGATCTGAAAAATGATTATGTATTTAACAATGGCATTCAGAATGAATTAATTACAATAATTTAATGAAATTCCTATATTATTAAAACAGGGTTCGTAGGGTCCTTAAAGTCCTTAATTTCTGCCAAAATCGGCAGAAGGTCCTTAATTTTAATCATCTGAAATTTCTGTTTTGTTTTTATGACTGCTGCTTTGAGTGTGAATTATTATGGTGGAATGTTTTTGACAATTAGCTAACAAATATGATTATCTTTTGAATGGGTTCATAGGTTATAATTTGTTCCTATTTCTAATGTGAAGGGTAGGATACTGGAATTTCTGAGCAAGAAGTCAAAAAAACATAAGCATTTCAAAATTATATCATTTTCTCTAATGAAGAGCGTTTAAAGAATTTTCTGCTTTTGAGGATGTAAATTCTTTTATTAAATGGCTCTAAATTTGGCAACTTATCAACATTTTGGGAATTTTAAGATAATTTCTATAGAAAATTTTCAATTCGGAGATCTGGGAATTTTTCGACGATTTTTTTTTTTAAAACATTATAACATTGATTAAATTTAACTAAAATATATAGTAATTATATTTAAATTGCATTTTAGAAATAACATTAAAATAAGACTTTTTTTTTTTTTTTTTTCTGTCGTGTTATAAAGTGGCATTATTTTCCATTTTGGCAACTTATTATATAGTATTTTAATCTGAAAAATAAACAAGGTCATAAATGCTATAAAAGACAGTTTACAAAACAATTCATTGCAAAAGCAAAATAGCTATATAATTAATTAAAATTTTCTTCCTTTTAATTTTTTTTCATGGTAAGAATTTTTCCCATGTAATTGTCTCAGAATATTCAGAATTGTCAGAATATGTATCAGTTTTTTCTATAAAATTAATTTTCCACTTTTTCCCCACCCCCAAAATATTTATAGCCCTTTTTCTCTTGCAGAATTAAGTAGTAAGATTAATTTTTCTTTAGGATTTTAAGCATTGCTACTTGGAAAGTTAAGAAGGATTTGAAGGCAAGATTTACAGATCCACAATTCTAGAAGGCTCCAGAAAAAATTGACAAAAATAAAATGTCTTCATTGTATTAACACATAATGGATGTATTTTACAGAAAGTTTTGTGATGAATTTCTTACATTTGAGGGAATTTTTGGAAAAACAATGAAAACAATGTTGAATGTTGTACTTCTGATACTAGAAGTCTTTTTCTTAACATGTTTATCTTCCCTTTATTTCTCAACTTTTCACTAGACAGAAAAAAAAAAAAAAAAAAAAAACAAGAAAAAAAGAAAGAAAAAAAAAAAAAAATAAAAAAAAAAAAAAAAAAAAAAAAAAAAAAAAAAAAAGAAAAAAAAAAAAAAAAAAAGAAAAAAAAAAATACAAAAATTTTCTAATCTTTTCGCATGGACAGGCATTTATAAAAAGAATTTTTCTATTAATAAAGAAGTTGATAACTGGCAATTTAAAAGATTCACCTTATATGTCTCAATGGAGCATACACAGGGCTGGCACAAGTTGTTTTCTCAACTGATACAGTCTCCATGGATCCTAAATTCTGAAAGTTTTGCCTTGTGTAGATGTTGTTGCTCGGTGTGTCACTAAATTCTAAAAATTCTGCCTCATCAGCCCTGAAACCAGCCCTTACTTATACATCATTTCATATTTATCAGCTTTTTCTGTACATTCTAAATGCATTTGTTTTTTTAGAATAACATCTTTAATTAATTAAAAAAATTCTAAAGTGAAGAGGAAACGAATTGAAGAAAGAAATTGAATGCATAAAGAGGAAGAAAATTATGCTTTGATGATATGTGCAGTTATTATTATGCAAATTAACCAATGTTTTAGAATTTTAGCCTTTACTATAAGTTCCCCTTTCCGTTTCTTCACCATAATGCAAATCAGATAGTTTTTAAACTGAGGTTTTGGGACTGAACGACAGAGTGTTTTTGCCCTCCACTTGGATGTTGCATTAATTTCTGTGAGCTCTGATTCTGTGTAATTAATTATTCATCTTTGCATTATCATCGCTAATATTTGAATTTGTTATCACCATAGAGTTACTGAGCCAGCTTAGATTAAAATTAAATTGTGTAGTCTTTGACTACTAGTCTACATTTTTAGTTTGAATTTGACTGTTCCTGTATAATTGCATCACCACAAGCTGTTGTTGATTTTGTCAACATAGTAACATGCCTGTATGTAAAATTGAGAACTGGTACTCTTTCCAGTCTTATATAGTTTTCCCCAGGCCGCCGAGTAGTTTTCCAGTAGTTTGCATTTCTCAAAATTAGTGGAAGGCTTATACAGTTAAAATTATATCTAAGAGCCAGATACGGTTACATTTACATATAGGGATCAATTACAGTACCAGTTACAGTTATATAAGGACTGGACCAAATGGTCATTAAGTCTGGTGATTTAGTGACAAATTAGGCACAAAAACCATCACCAGGTGAGCAATATATTGTCAGTTTAGAGAGACAGCCTCAGTGTTAAATAGACTTTCCCGTGTAATCTTATTTTTATCACAGAGTTTTGCTTTGTTCAGATTTCTCATGGTACAGTCACACAAAATTCGTGACATTGATTCCTTCCCAAGGATTGCATAACCCGAGGCAATACTAAAATAATGATTTCAGTAAATAACATACAGTAAATAAAATGCTAAATCAATAAATAAATGCATGAATTTACAGATTTATATACAAATAATGACCACGGTCTTAGTATACTATTTACATTTTATACACTCTGATGACTATGTACCTGGCAAGCCTGTTGTAAGGAATAAATTTATGCTTAGAATTGGATGATTTAATGGATCTGAACTACGATATCATTCAGCCTGTTTAGGACTATATAAAGACCTCCCCAGAGTGACTGTAGTTTACGAGTCCTTTCCATTAAATTGGATTCCATAACCACACCTTGTCACTTTCATTCAGTTGATGTCCTGTAGCTCTCGTGCCATATCAGGTCTTTATCTTCTCTGTCGCCAAGTTGATTCACTCTTATGCAAAACTGGGCATCACTTCAAGCCATGCTTGAAGATCCTGAATGTATTCCTCAGGCAATGCAGGAGCATTTGGAAGGCAACCAACAAGAGATCACTAGAGAGATGAAGGTCACGACTGAAGAGCATTTGGGATGAAGAATAGCCAGTAGTCTTACGGGCGGTACTACAATAGACCAGTAAGAAGAGAAGTAACTTCTGATCCCTGTCCTATTGGTTTCTGGAAACTATCAGCGAGAGCTTATTAAGGATGGTTCTATTAAACCTCTTTATCATAGCATCTGATTACGAATATAAAGATGTCATTTAGGTTTTGTGTGTGCCAAATAGTTCTTAGAGCTCTTTAATTACAGATGCGGTAAATTTCCTTCCTTGGTTGGAATCTAACTGAAGAGGCACTCTGAAATAATTTATTAAGTTATTTAAACACTAAATGTGTTTAAAACAAAATTTGCAACTGAATCTCTTTAGAATTTTTATTGGAAACTATAAAAACCTTTTAAATGAATATCCTTTTTCTAATATATGCACCTGAAATTACTGCCCTTTATTAAGAAGGTGATGTTTTTAATATTTAGGCTACCTGAAGAAAGAATTCTTCCTTTTGGTATGAAGGATAATTTTTGGGAAATGGGAGAGACTGGTCCTTGTGGACCTTGTTCTGAAATACACTTTGATCGCATTGGTGGAAGAGATGCTAAAGATCTGGTCAATGCTGACATCCCTGATGTCCTGGAAATATGGAATCTTGTGTTCATACAGTTTAACAGGTAAGTACTCATGTGGAACTATTATGTTATTTTTCTCGTATTGATGCAAATTTCATTTTTGCTGTCTATCACATTTTAAATTAGCAGTATTGTAATATGAATACTGGGAAAGAACTCCCCTTTTAGGACTCTGGTCTTTCATATGTTTAATTTTGCCAAATACAAAATCATTATTTTTCATAACAATGAAAAACTCAAGTAGTTTAAGTAAATGTTACATTTTTATGACATTATTCTCTTTTAATTAGCCTATATGTTAGTTAATCCAAAATGACATTTGTAATGAAATCATGTTAGTGGAATACTCAAGTATGTAAAAAATCCTGTAATTCATCCATTTCATTCCTATTTTCTTTTATATTTTCTTTTAATTATTTTACAAGAAACTTAAAAGGGTATAAAACAAACACACATTCATAGAAGGCATTAAAAATTATTTTACTATATGAACAAAATTTAATCTGTGTTGTTTTTAATGAGAAATTTTCTAAACTATTTTTAAAACTTTCTTTTCTTTTTCTGTACATATTCTTATAGCAGCTCGCTGCATTTAAACTAATACAATGAACTTGAATATGTTTATCTAGATTTTTTTTTTTTTTTTTTTTTTTTTTTTTTTTAATATCTACAACATTCAAATATTTTCTACAACTACAACAAGTTCATTCTCCATCTTTTCTTTATCAGTAAATTCTATTCGTAAATTTACTGTAATGAGATGATTATGCTATTACCCATTTCTTTACAATGGATGTTCAACAGTTTCTGCACATTTATTAAATTTGCTTCATTGTAACTTGTCTAGTGGCTGCAGTTTCATCAATGAAGATTTCATCTCTTAATTAGATGAAAAGGTGTCCAACTGGTCACTGTGCTAATTTTCTACAAAGATAGAGGATAAAATTAACAAATGTAGTAATCGAAATCATATTAAGTGAGGTATTTCTGTATTTGAAATCAATGTATGATATTTGGTTCTTAAACACACCGTAGACTGATGATCTTTATCAAAAGTTTACTTAATTTAATTTACAAGAATTTTAATTGAAACAATTTCTTGAACTTTGGCAAATAATAATGGATCAAAGTACAAATAAAAAAATTTTAAATATCACTTGAAATAATATCATATTTTCTAAAAACCAGTGTTGACAATACTATAAAATGTTTGTATATCTTAAGAAACTTTATTTCGCTCATAAACGTATATTTATCCGCTGCGTTCAAAAATGTATTTTTTAAAAATAATAAAAAAAAAATCATGTAAAAATACAAAAGTGGTATATTTGCAAAACTTGCATATTTATAAAAATTGTTTATTGTGTCATTTTTGAAATGGCAGAAATGTGTAATTATGTAAGCATTGTGCTTATATGAAATAGAAAAATAGAAATAATTATTTAGTAATAAGTAATTAGCACTTTCAGCATTTCTAAATGATTTTTGAATGATTATATACATCTCTCAATAGTGTATTTATTATTAATTATAACATGTAAAATAAAAATTTTTTATGGTATCCATTTTCCTAAAGCATGCACCTTTCAAAGTCACCAGTATTTATCAGAATCTAACTAAAGAATGATACAGTCAAAAGTCTTAATCCGGACTCGTCGGGACTTCGGTGATTCTGGATTATCGATTTTTCCGGATTATAGGTCATCAGTTTAAATCTGGTAAGATGGCATGCAGAAATTATAAAATTAAAAATATGAAACTGTAATTTATAAAATAATGAGCAATTATGACCTAAAGGGTATCAAAATTTACAAAAAAAAAGCTTAATATTTATTTGTTTACTTTATTAAATATTTCTTTCAACGCGCGCATGCGTAAAGCATACATTATGCAGAGCCGAAATTAGAAAATTGCAACCAGAAAACTATTTGATTGTATTCGTGATATTTATAATGACGAGGAATTTGATTTAAATCATATCAAAGACGAAGTACATCGAGATGAAATACTACATTTAATAAGAAATTATAAGCCGAATAAAATAAAACATCTGCCATGAAGATAAGGATAATGCTGACAGATCAACTTCCAATTGATTGCGCGCAGCGTCATCCCCCCTCCCCGCAGAGCAGCGTGAAATTGATAAACATATTTCGGAATGATTAGAGAATCAAAGGATATGCCTTTATCCATTTTTTGCAGCAATTCCACTTTTTGTTTGATGGACATCGAAACATGCTTTAGCTTTGTAAATCCTTTGGTAGCTCTAGAATTGGAAATTCTTTTTGACATAATCGAAAGTTCAAGCTTACTTTTATAAAATTGCTCTTACAGTCTGCAAAAAATAATAAGCCGGATCCAATTCGAAGATTAAGGAACAACGCAATCATCAACATTAACTGAAATAGACAATTAGATAATTTTAACTTATACCGTCCGTTATACATTAAACGCGCAGCGAAAACGTATTCTGCGCTTGTGCACATACAAATGCACAGTTGTAAAGGTCTTACGTGCACGCTTAAACCCCTATGCGCATGCGTCAGAGCGGCGCATGCGCAGAAAGTTTTTAGCTTTGTGGTCCGGATTATAGATCATTCTGGATTATGGATGTCTGAATTAGCGACTTTTGACTGTATTGAATATCACTGATAATGATGACAACCTTCGCAGGTGATGATATTATCTGGAATTATGAATAATTGTTAAATTTCTGTCCTAAATATTTTAAGTTAGCTGTATTGTATAATAGTTAGCAAAGTGACAAGTCTGTAATACAGAGTACTTTATAGGTAAAAGGCTTTTATTAAATAAAATACTATACATCAAATGAGAGTTGATACATTTTTGTTTTATTTGTTTGCTTGACTAAATTTTCCCACCAAAACATTGTTAGAAAAGGTAGCCACCAAATTTCATTTCCTTAAGTATTGATTATAGAATTATTTTGAATTATAGATTTTCTTAGAATAAGGTAGAATATTTTATGGAAATATTTTTAATACTAGAGATAAGAAAGTTTTGTAAATGAAATAATCTAATTTTTTGTATAATTGCTGTATAAAAAAAGCATATTTGTGATGTGAATTGTAACAGAGTGTAAAGGGTAAATTATTGTAGCATTCATTAATGTTTTAATAGGTTAAAGGCAAAACATTTCAAACATTTACATCCAAAATTAATAGAAATATTAACAGTTAATTGTTTCATAGTGGGCACCTGCTAAATTGATAACAATTTTTTTTTTCCCCAAAGTGCGAAAGCTGACTAGTCAGGGGGGGAAAGTATGTTTAGTTGTTGATTTGTAATTGAGGTTGAAGACAAAAATTTTGATCAGTAACAGTCATCAAAACATAATTTAACTAAGAAAATTTGTTTTTGAATATCTGCAAATTTTGCATATAAGGACAGAAAACTTTATATTTATTCTTAGAAAAGCATAATGACCTTACATGTACCAAATGTTTTCCTCAGTGAGCATCAGATCAAAAGTTAGATTCATAATGAAATTGAATGGTATATTTTATATTTACAGATCCTTCTCGATTCTCATTCCTGAAACCTTATTATCGAAACTACGAGTATAAAATTTAGTATTTGAGAATTTTTCAGTATAAATGTCTCATTACTACTCATATATATGTCTCTGTTGATTTTATGGTGCTTGTGTAGTTTGGGGTTTTTATCATGATGGTGTGGTTTTCTTTTGATGCTTCAGAACTCTGAAATTGGAATTCAGAAATACTAAAAAAAAACTGCTGTTTTGCATTAAGGAAATATGCATTATGTTCATATATCTTGATTGGTAAAAATCTTTGGCATGAAATTTTTATATTGAAATATTATTTGTATTTTGAATGAATAATGTTTTAGTTTCAGATAATGTTGTTTTTATAGGGAAGCTGATGGAAGCTTAAAACTTCTTCCCAAGAAGCATGTTGATACTGGAATGGGTCTTGAACGACTGGTATCTGTAATACAGAATAAAACTTCCAACTATGACACTGATCTCTTTGTTCCAATTTTTGATGCTATTCAACAAGTAAGTATTTTTAAAACTAAAATGTTTAAAACTCCAGATTGTTCAAGTTCAGATAAAATTATATGAGATTAAGTTGAAATCAGGTCTAAAATATTGGAAATCAACATTGAGAAAATTTCTTCGTCATTACATTTTTTTTTATTTCTAGTCTCTGTGTGAAAATACTTTTAAAAATATTATAACCTTTGCTGATTGAATGTATATAGCTGAATCTAATACTGTGAAGATTTTCCAGATTAAATAATAAAACTATTGAAGACTTTTTCAGGAGTAAAACAGAATTATCTTTGTACCTTTATCTCCTGAAAATGAGAGACCTGTGTTGGAGTGCCCTTAAAATGTTGTCCAAAATTTAAGTCAAAATAAGATTTTTGTTTTGCCTGATTTTGAGAATAGAATTCGTGTTTACAAATTGTTGCGAAAATCTTTGGACAACAAAGAAACTTGTTAACCATTCAGCAACATCTCACAGACTTCTTACCTCTAATCTCACAACGTCCTCCTTTTCAGTAAATGATACCTAGAATCATTTCAGTGTCTGAGATTTCTTATCTGTCTTTCTGAAAATTAAAACCTAACTTTGAAACATCTATGTTTAGCCCAGGCATCGGCAAACTATGGACTGTCACGATACAATTCTCGGTTGCACTGTACACCACTTTAGAAAGTTACCAGGTAAAGATAAATTGTCCTGTCTCTCCTCCCTGTGCCATCAGGAGGGTTTAGTTAAAAAAATTTTGTCACAATGTTTAATTTCTGCAATGAACACTGTTGTTAAAATACTAAATTTTGTAGTGTCTCGTTCTTCACCGGTACACAGAAATTTAAATGTCTTTTGGGAGAAATGAAAGCGAATATGTGTATCTCCCCTTGTAAAGCCATGTTTATTGGCTTAGTTGAGTTAATGTCTTGAATAAGTTTGTATCATGCATAGAACAAATTAAAGTTTTTCTTAATGAGAAGGATCAACATCCCCTCTCCCCCCCCGCGCGAGATGGAAGATAAAGAATGGTTATGCAAACTAACGTTTCTGATATAATTAAACATTTTAACGAACTAAGAATTACAAGGAAAGAGCCAAACAGTGCTTGAACATTTTGAATAGTGGAAAGGATTTGCTGCAAAATTAAATACATAGCATGTTTTTTAAGTAAGGGCCGTTTTGTTGTGTACACTAATACGTGTTGCGTGGGCGGCAACGAGTCCCAGCATTCCTTGGAAACTTTTATGCTCAATTGCAACTGTGTAGGTAACTTGTACAATCTTTTTTGTGTCTTTAAAATGTACAAGATTATCGAATCGCCCACCCCGTGCAAGGTACGGTCAGTGATAGCTTTTTTTTGTCGGCAAGGAGCGTGTCTACTGTGGACATTCGCTGGCAGATTTGTGAAGTTGTCTGGCTACTGCCATGAGTGAAAGCAAAGTGTGTAAGTGGGTCAGAGACTTCAAAACTAGCTGCTTCAATGTATGTGATGTGCCCTTCATCCCTCTCCAGTCAGCCACAGACAATATAATGGCTTAAGTTGAAGCAAAAATTATGGAAAACAGATGTCTTACTGTAAGCACTCTTTCAAATGAATTTCCTGAAGTGTCTAGTTTAGGATGTGAAAATGGCCATGACTTCTTAGTTATCGGAGCAGACGGCAAGTTTCTATGAAGAGAGTATTCAAAATATAGTTCTAAGGTATGATCTGAAAATAAATTTGGTTTTTGAAAATTTTCTATTGTTTGGTTTTTATTTTCAAACAGCCCTTACTTAAAAAACACCCCTTGTATATTTTTCTGTTATATTAATACTAGTGCTTATAAAAACTTCTCAAATGTAAAGCACTTGCGAATATATCGATCTTAGACAAAGATGAACTTGAAGCCTATGTTGAAGCACTTAATGCGGAATTTTCCAAAAGATGCAAAGGCATTGAAGCTTGTATACCTATATTGTCCTTCCTAATAAACCAGATTTAATAGACCCATTAACAATCCCATTCGATTTGTAAACTTTTGAGTGGATGGAGGTTGATAATTTTGAATTGGAACTTATTAACTAACATCTTCAGAATTATGGAATGCAGAATGTATGGATTTACGAAAAAATCCGGAAGATAACTGTAGTGATAAATCGACAGCTATTTTAAATTGCTAGATGTCAGTGCTGAAGAGATTTAATTTTCTGAAGAAAGTTGCATGTGCTTTCCATTTTTGGTTTTATGTGAACAAATCTTTTCTCATGAAAAATATTTGGAGTCCACAAAGAAGTTGTTTAATAACTGAATATTCAGAATATATCCAATTGAAAATCAAAAATTATAGGCCTGATATTTGCAATAATTGGAACTAAACAAGGACAAGGTTCACATTAAAATTGTAATTTTTATTTAACTGAATTGAAAGAAAACTTACATTTTTATGTTGTTTATTTTTTAAGTAATATGTTTAAAAGATATATAATACGTATCATATGTACGATTTAAATTTTTTTATTTATGTGAAAGGAATAGTTACATTTTATGTGTGTTTTTATATTAATAAATATCTTTAAAAACAATGCCATTAAAATTTTTTTATTGTAATTTTTGCAAGTGAATTTTTATTTTTCATGAAATAAATATATATTTCATAGTATTGTAATACAGTGTATACAGTTCCATAGGCTGGGTTTTTTAAGGGGGGGGTAAACTATCAAGTTTTACACCCAAGTATTTAAAAATGACATGACTTCCTTTGGTTAACCTAACAATATCAAAATGGACAATAATCAAATTCTTAGCAAATTTGGTCCTACATGACTATAGTATTTCTCTGTTTTTTGAAATTGTATAAGTTTATGGACTGAAATTTCTACTTCTTGAATAGCATGGTTTATTAATTTCCTCAGGTTACATGAGAAAATCTCTTAAATTCTTTTATCATTTTCTTCTTATGTATACATTTGTCCAGTGTATTTGCCTGTAACAAGCATCATTTTTCTCGAGAAATGTCGTTACCATTTTAAAAGCTTATAAAAAATTGTGGATTGATTGGTGATCATCAATGAAGCTGATGTAGAGTTATAATTACTAATTAAAATTAAAAAAAAAAAGCAGTAAACACTCTGCTTTGCAATTTTTTTTTAAAGAAAAGAAGGGGAATAGTCTCCTTTTTTTAAAGAAAAATTTTATGTATATTAAATTAATATACATTTTTTGTGCACAATTCATCTAAAATTGTGTATTAACTATGTGTATATTGCTGGTCATTTTTAATAACACTGTTCATTAAAAATTTGGTTTATATAGTTTAACAAAAGTTAATCCTCCCAAATTTTTAGATAGTAAAGTTTATTTCTTTTAACATTTGATTTAAGGAAAATTATATTTAATAACATAATGTGGTATGTTATTTATTTGTTGTTGCATTTTTTAAAACAATGACAGTAAAAAGGAAAAAAGTAAATTTGTATAATGTTTCAACTGTCAACAATGTAACACAGTTATTCTCTATATTCTAATTATGTCTATGAATCACTTTTTAGGCTACTGGTGCTGTTCCTTATACTGGAAAAGTGGGAGCTGATGATACCACTGGAATTGATATGGCTTACAGAGTATTAGCTGACCATGCTCGTACGCTAACTGTTGCCCTTGCGGATGGTGGAAGACCTGATAATACTGGTCGTGGGTTAGTATTAGTAATTGGCTTGAAAATTATTTAAATATGAAATCAAATATTATTTGTCAAAATAAAAAGCATTTCCTGCCACCTGCTTCATCTAGTACTAACTTTTTTTTTTTAGTTTATGTATGATCTATATCTAAAAGTAAATGTTTTCACCTTATTTTAGAAAAGAAGGGGAGGGGAACACTTTTTTTTTTTTTTTTTTTTTTTTTTTTTTTTTTGTGCATTTTTTTGTTGCAGAAATACAAATATATGTCAGCCTTGAAGTGTTAAGCTGGAATCTGGAAAGTCAAATTGCAGCTTTATTTATTTATTTATTAGGCATTTACTACACAAACTGTATTTAAAGCTTCAAAAACTTCATTTGTATGTATTTTGTAAAAGAATATCACTTGTAATATTTGTAAATCTTTCAGTTGGGTAAAGAACTCATCATTGTGAAATTAAATAATTTCATTTCTTCAGTCTTAAATCATGCTGCCTCTGTTTGCATTGATATGCTCTATCTGTTAACTCCTTCACGCCGGGTAGCGCAAACGTGCGCTTATCGCGAAGGCCGGCAGTGTCTTACGCGAGCGTCTGTCCAGGGCTGGGGGGGCTTTTTTGCTATTAAGCCTAAATCGATGAATTTCCGAAGTAGCAACGCATTGTTTAATATGCTCTATAGAGTATTTAAACGGCTTATGCTTATAGATATTTTTATATATACTATAATTACCTTATTTCTTGTTTAAATGCATATTTTACACATTTTATTTTCATTACTCACCATTTATGACTTTTCACATATACATCGAAAACTAAATAATTACTTAAAATTTCTTTTGTATGAAAAATTGAAACAGGGATCTACACACAGTCCTACGTTACATTCCCTTGCATCGTATAACTCATTTGCTGTTTTGGAGGATTTTTCCGGGAATGGTGAACAAATGAAGCATCGTCGTCTCATTTTCTTATCAGTCTCTTCTGGACAAAGTTTTGGAAAATGTGATAGCGATACTATGTAACGTAGTATTAGTGATACTACGCTACATGGATGACTATCACTACTATCAGAATCTGTTTCAGAATCAATATCTGAAATATTTTGCATCATTTCTGCTATTTCCATCTCTGTTAAACTTTTCGACGTTTCGACATTGCAACGGTAAAAGCAAAAAGAATTCACGTCTAACAAGATCTAATTATTTTCTAAATACTGAACTGCAAATCGAAATATCCAATGCTTTAGCAAAATAAAACTTCTCTACTTACAATAAAAAACTACCACATGCATAAAGCACGCCATTCCGAAAGATTTATTTCCCCTTTTTGTTTATATAATCAAAAACACGTGTATGTGAGTCATGCTTCTTCATTTTGAGTAGAAGGTCTAATGTACATGTATCTGAAACCATATGGACATACAGTGCCATCTTGTGGCAGAAATTATAGTTTTTAAAATGTTCCAGGACACTGGCACAAATACGTGACAGTAGGGGCTGAACGGGAAAATGCTCTGGCACGCCTGCGTGTCGGCCGGGAAGTGAGTGTGTTCGTTGCTGGCACGTAGACGTGACAGTCGGCGCGAAGGGGTTAACCATCAGATTACTTTTCTAGATTTTGGCTGTTTTGAAATTTTTGACTAGTTAAAATTTTGGTTTATTTTGATATATTGGCTAGAGGAATACCGTATTAAAGCAGAGATTTAGTTCTAAACAAAGGTTCCCTGAAGGTTTTTTTTTTTTTTCCCCCTTTCTAGAAAAAATCTGATTGATTTAACAAGATATCTGAATGTTTATTCTGTTTCCTGTATGCTGTTTTGTAAGCTAATTTATGAGTTTAAACCAAAATTTAGAAATTATGTTTTCTTTCATTGTGTAAATTAATAAAAATAATTTGCTTTTCTTTTCTATTTTTGCTTTATTTTGCTAACAATTTGCTTTATTGCAATGTACTGTGAGTAAAAAAAAAATTGTTCTGGTCATCCTGGGATGGTTAAGCATGGGCTGATATCTCGTATGTTTATATGCTATAATATGTATTATATATCTAATTCAGAATTGAATCTACATTTAAAAAAAGTATGCAGTATTATTTTAAGAGCAAATATTAATTAAGCATAGTCATGCCAATCTTAGAAAAATTATTCAAATAGTACTGTTTATTTGAGAAGTATTTAAAGCTCTCTTTTCCTTATTTGATCACAAATTTCATTTGTACTAATTATTTATATGTATTTTAAATTGAAAGTGTAATCCTCTATTGTGTTTTCTTTCTGTTATTTTTTTTTTAATATTACTTTTTTCCTCTTCATTGAACACTTAAAAAATTAGATATGTTTTGAGAAGAATACTCCGACTTGCTGTACGTTATGCTACTGAAAAGTTAAATGCCAAGCCTGGAATGTTTGCAAGTTTGGTACCAGTTGTTATTTCTATTTTGGTGAGTAATGTATAAAATAGTTTGTTATACACTATATTTTGCAAACACTTTTTTTACTGTAGGTGATTCTCTTTTTATTGATGAAATTTGTTTTTATTTCCTCAAGGGTGATATTTTTCCAGAGCTTAGAAAGGATCCTCAAACTGTAAGTCCATAGTTATGCAAATAAATTATTTTTGGAAAAAGTTTTATTTAAATTTTCAAATCTTAAAAAGTTTGTCTTCCCCCATGTAAATTATTTTTTATAAATATTCTGAAGTAATTTTTTTTTTATAAATACTATTGGTAAATATTTTACAAGCACTACATGGCCATATAGTTTTTAATGTGGTATTATTTTGTAGTTATTCCTTTTAGAATATCCTTTGTCTGGCTTAAATGTCCAATACCAGCTCAAGTATTGCATTTTATCTGACGGTGTATCCTATTAATTAATGCGAGTGTTTAAAAAAAAAAAAAAGACTTATATTTATTCAGTCAAAAGTCGTTTAATTCGGACACCCATAATCGGACTCAAAGCTAAAAACTTTCTGCGCACGCGCCGCGTTGGCACGTGTGCACAGGCGTCTTACGCGTGTGAGTAAGACCTTGACTACTGCACATATGCGTGTGCGCAAGTGCAGAATAAGTTTTTGCCTGCACGTTTAATGTATAACGGACGGTGTGTAAGCTAAAATTATCTAATTATCTATTTCAGTTAATGTTAATGATTGCGTTGTTCCTTAATCTTCGAATTGGATCCCGCTTATTATTTTTTGCAGACTGTAAGAGCAATTTTATAAAAGTAAACTTGAACTTTCGATTATGCAAATAGAATTTCCGATGATGGAACTTCCAAAGGATCTACAAAACGAAAGTTATGTTTCGATTCCAACAAACAAAAAGTGGAATTGCTGCAAAAAGTTTGTTTAGGAACACGTAATTTCTCGCCATGCCATGAGTGTATTGTATCGATTTTTACAGTTACTTATCCTCGCAGGAAGGAAAATTTGTATTCTTAAATGTGCATTAAGTGACTGCGTGTACAATAAGACTGAAATACTCAGCTGCTCAAGCACATCTTCTCACAATCACACATCATCTTCCCACAATATCCACTAATTTAACCAAATGCAGAGGGTGAAAAGTGTAACCAGCAACTTTACATTCATCCTTAGGAGTCAGATTCAGGACTCATTTTACCCCTGACACACATCCGCTTGATGGCTATAATTGTATCAGCAGAGAGCCAAGGTCAAAGAGAACGTTCTCTGTCACCAAGATTCCTCTCATTTTTTGTTTCCACCCACTCATACCCTCTTGTCCTCATTCTGTTTTGCCTTTTTTTTAGCATTATCTGAATTTTCATCAGCTATATTTTAAATATATTTAATTTTTGTGATTTTAAAAGAACTCATCCCCCACGATCGGAGGTTAAATTAGGTCCGAGTCCAATGGAGCCCGACTCTGGTATTTCTTAGTTTTTGTAATAAATCGTAATTTTAACCAGAGTGCACCGAAGCTCTAAATTAGAAGACTGAGACACTCTTTTATGTAATTGAATAACAATTTCAGTAGAAATTTTATCTCGAAAATTTTTATTTTTAAAAATAAAATGATATTAAAATTTGCTTATAAATTTTAATTATCTGTTTACATTTAATTTATTTATTTAATTAATTTAATCTTTAATTATTTTAATAAATAATTATATGATAATTATCAATTAAATAACAATCAATAAACATTAATTAAATAGCTATTAATTAATTTGATAATAATTATTTATTTAATTTTAAAATTATTAATGAGTTTAATAGTCATTTTATTTATTTCTTTACTCTTCCTCTTTGCTGGCAGGCCTCCATAAGGCTCCGGCACTTCTAATTTACAAAATACTGTATGAGGAACAGAAAAATTGTTAAAATGGCAGATTTCAGTTGTGGTAAAAACGAATTGCTGAGTTATTGCCAGTTATTGTAAAACTCAGCTGACATTAAGTGAAACGAAATACAGTCAAAAGTCGTTAATTCGGACACCCATAATCCGGACCTCAAAGCTAAAATCTTTCTGTGCATGCTCTGCGTTGACACATGCGCATAGGCGTTTACGCGTGCGCGTAAGACCTTTACGACTGCGCATATGCATGTGCGCAAGCGCAGAATACGTTTTCGCATGCGCGTTTAATGTATAACGGACGGTATAAGCTAAAATTATCTAATTGTCTATTTCAGTTAATGTTGATGATTGTGTTGTTCCTTAATCTTCAAATTGGATGCGGCTTATTATTTTTGCAGACTGTAACAGCAATTTTATAAAAGTAAACTTGAACTTTCGATAATGTCAAATAGAATTTCCGATGCTGGAGCTCCCAAAGGATCTAAAAAACGAAAGTATGTTTCGATGTCCGTCAAACAAAAAGTGGAATTGCTGCAAAAAAAATGGATAAAGACATGAAGAATGTGACAGAGAGGTTAGTGAAAACGAAATAATTTCGATTGACAGTTAGTCGGTATTCTCGGCACAGCAATTAACGGGACTTGAACAGCGGAACTTTGTAACTGAAACAAGAAATTATGTCTGTTTATAGAATTAAAGAGAAAGTATTATCACATAAAACGAAGCAACTTAAACAACTTTTAATTGAAAGAAATGTTTAATAAAGTAAACAAATAATATTAAGCTTTTTTTTTTTTTTTTTTGTAAATTTTGATACCCTTTAGATCATAATTGTTCTTTATTTCATAAATTACGGTTTCATATTTTTAATTTTAGAATTTCTGCATGCCACCTTACGAGATTTAAACTGATGATCTATAATCCGGAATCGCCGAAATCCCGACGAGTCCAGATTAACGACTTTTGACTGTATTTGACTAGCAGGATTTTTATTGTATTATTATTCAGTGGTTTCCCTTTTAATAACATTTTACAAAATACAACTTACTGAGTAGAAATTTTTTCTTAAATATTATAAGGAATAAAAAATGAAATTAAAAATCTGAAAGCTTTCAGATTTTACATTATGCCCATTATTAGGGATTTTTTTTAACCTTTTGTGCGCTACCATTATTTATTAGTGCCCACCAGCGGCCGAACGGTAAAGACGCTGAACACTGGTATTTCGGTCCGAGATTCAAATCCCACGAACGGGCTGGCTACATGGCCGTTTTCGTGGTTTTTCCCCCTGTGTAACGTGTATACGAGCCAGTTTCCCTTAGAAAGTCCTCCACGAAGGCATCCCTCCTCTCAGGCAGGTAGCCCTCGTGTGCTTTGTCATAATTGAATAATCCAATAATCCAACCCATGATTTATTAAATATCATGTTCTTTGCACTTAAACTATAAAATTCAATTCAACAGAAGTATCTCAAAATAATTATGAAATAAGCATATCTTTAGAATTTTCCATACACAGTCTCACGTTCTGAAGTTCTTTTTTGTTTTTTTTCACAGTTTTGCCATTACTCACTTTTAAATCATTGAGTTTGTTAATCAAAAATTCTTTGAAGCGTTACAAAATATGAAATCGATAGTAAAACAAATTCCAATTTTCAAATTTGGCCTTTCAGATGCCCATATTCACAGTAGGATTATGTCATTGAAAATTCAATGGCTGTAGGTATCATTGTTTTATCACAGTGCGAAAAACATACATACATTTATGCAGATTCTTCATTATTTAATTTCTTTAAATATAAGACAGGGTAATAATAATTGGTGGCAACAAAATAAGTGAACAGACGTTTAAAGTTTTCAATGCAAAATGCCAAAACAAAATTAATAACTCTTCTGGGCTAACGCCCTTTGGGCTAAATAAAAAGGCCATACTTCTTTTTTCTTTTAAGCTTTTTATTGAAATTTTATTATTTTAACATATTCCAAAATATGTTTTATCATACAAAATAATGACTTTTTCAAGCCAAATTTGTTGATTTTGCAAGGCAACAGAATGTCTCAAAAGTTCTTTACCGGGTATTTATACATTATTGTCATTTTCACATTCAATAAACTATAGTGTAAAAATATTAATACTCAGCATTTTTAGCAAGAATAATTTTTTTTTACCACTTTCCATAAAATGTACTTTTAAAAACAGCCTGTCAATGTACGTGCAGTTAATTAGTGGAGAAAGATATTTCTTAATCACTTCAGGTACATTAGGATAATTAGTAGCATTCATTTTTTACCAGGTTAGTAGTGATGTTTGTTTGTCTGTGTCTGGCCTGAAAAGTATTTGTTAATTAAACAAAATGTTAAATTTGAGTTGCACATTTTATGTATTATAAGTATATTCAGCTTCTGTAGAATAATCCCAAAAAGATTTTTAACATAAACAAAATGTTAATAATTTTATGTATTAATTATATTAATTATGACCCTTTTTTTTCTAAAAGACAGTAAGAATTTTTTTTAGTCCAAAGGGGCAATTTGCCCAGAAGGACAATTAATTTCATTTTGGCATGTCATGCTGATTCACTTTTCAACATATTGCTGCTAAATATTATCGCCCTGTATTATACTTAAGGAAATTAAATAATGAAGAATCTGCATAAATGTATGTATGTTTCTTGCATTGTGATATTGTGTTGATTCACTATAAACATTGATTTATTTTCAAATTGTTGCCACTAAATTTTATTGCCCTGTGTTATATTTAAAAAAATTAAATAATGAAGAATTTGCATAAATGTATTGTTCTGCGAGTACAGGTTTGTAATAGATTAAGTGTACAAGTCTGATGAAAAGTTAATACAATTTATTCTTATCACAGGAGATAAAACAAAATGTTGAAATTTTTCCTCACGGTTATTCATACAATATCACAGAGTAGTTCAATTTTAAAGTACTAAAACATTAAATAAAACACAATTCAAAGTGCAGAGAAAGCTAATCCGATCTCACTGTGAATTCGGTACAACAAACAACAGCAGTTATCTAAACAACTGAACTGAGATGTTTTTCTCCGGCTTTTTTAAGCTTTTTAATCAGTCACAAGAAGCTTCTCGTAATTTCTCGAGGTTTCGGGAAAGGAAAAGAGTAGAATTACAGTTACAGCTAACACACAATTGCATTATTTCAATTTATATATAAATTACGAGCTATCTATTTATTAAATGCGCATGCTCCTGTATTTTTACTTTTCTAGCGTAGCTTTCTCTTAAAA